GTCCGCCGAAAAAGTCAAGCTAGCACCAGGTTCGAAAAATGTCCTTGCCTTGCACAACTCTTAGATTAAATTAGTATCATTATCCATAGGAATTCTTTGATTATATCTAAAAAACTATGAGAAAATAGTAAATAAACAAATTGTAAATATACAGTGGCTCAAAAAGGAATAGCCAATAAATTTAGATTCGAATTCCTTTTAAAATTCTTCAACTTTTTTATTAATGTTTTTTATTTCAAGCTAATTGTTTTTCCAATATCTTCACTTTTCTACAAAAATACTACTTTTCACTGAAATGGAGGTAAATATTGGAAATTAAAATGGGTTTTTGTAATATCTTTCAGAGAAAACAATTAGGTTTAGGATCGCAGGAGAATAACACCGTTTGTGCTGAAGGATGTCCCAGAAAATATGCGGAAAAGACTAAACATTTGTATCCAAGTAGAATGGCATATATGACATATGACAAATAATTTCGTGGGACCATTAACATCGAAAAGTAATGAAAAAATGGCCGCGCAGGACGCGGAGAAATCAAATAAAAGGCGGCGCACGCACAATCTGATAATTATTCAATTAACAATTCTATTAAACCCGCGCCTATGCGATGTTAATTGAGCCCGCTAACAGCTTGAAGCTTGTCGAACAAGGTTTCCTAACGCTTAATGGTTTTAATTAGCTTTTTACGTTTTCCCGTCGTTAAAATGTCCTCGAAAAGGAATGCCGGCTTTGTTCGCCTGTCGTCGGTCCACGCCAAAGAAATAATGTATTAATATTAGGTGTCCGGCGAGCTTTGCCGTCACTAAGCGGTACGTTACATACATTTATGCATGATGTTTTCTAATTTAACGTCAATAATTAAGTCCATTTTAAAAAGAAAACTTGATATGAACATAATAATATGTCCTAAACGTTTTAACTATTGGCGATAAATTTTTCAAAAATACCACTTTAGAAAAATTAATGATATTTGACACGAATGTACTATGTATCAAAGGGCATTATTTAGTGTACTACAATTTATTTTTTCTACTTCCATCTTCAAAATCCCTAATTACGACACATCGCAAATAAACGAATGTTCAAATGGCCGAAAATCCCGAACGACGTTCGGTCCTGTTTCGGAAAGTGTCGGTGAATCTCGCCTCGGCAGACTGCAGTTTGACAGTCGATACTAGATAGGTTTAATCGGAATACGAATTAGGAAAACACACAGGACACGTGAATTCTTATGCATTCGGTCAATTGTTGTTTCCAAAAAAATATACGTTAATTTTTATCGAAGGGTGCTGCAACCCGCATTGAAAAGAATTTTTTTTATTAACCCGTGAGTATCTTTTGAATATTTTGTTGTCATTTTCCCCCCTACTTATTACAGCCAGCGGCAAGGGTAAAAGTTGACGTCTTTCAAATCAAATTTATGAATGACAACGTCCAAAACAAAATTCATTTTTCAGCAAAATAGGTAGGGTTTACACCTGATGATGGGAATAAAACTGATTATAAACTGACTGAATTCACTGTGCAATTCGTCCTAGCCAGTTGCGAGTGAGCCTTGGGGTAACACACATTTATGGGCCCCTATCCCTAGCCTACTTTACAAATAAGGTGTGACATTTCCCATAGCCACTTGAGAATTACATAAAAATGTACTTATGGTGATACAAAAATACTTTAAATCTACAAAGCGGCCCAGAAATATCCCTAGTGGCTATAGAAGATCCCTTTGGCCCAGGCATTTTCCATTTTACCCCGTATTTCTTTAAAAGATATTGAGAAATTTCTCTTCGAAAATAAAGATTATATTTTTATCTTTTTATGGATAATTTGGAAAATATCATACTAGAACATTCTTTAAGCAAAAGTTTTCTATGGTTCATTCACTATCGAAATTGAACAGGATAACTCTATTTTAAAAACAATAGTCTAGAGTTTAATTATGCTACACACTTAAACACAGAAAAACACATTTTTGACGACAATTTTGATATTTTACGTACAGCCACAAAAAGTAGAAAATTAAATTTATTGGAAGCCATGGAGATCAACAAAAGGAGACATTCAAATGTAGTGCTTAACGATCAATTAGATTTAAATACCTCTCCTTTATTGAACTTAAATTCTTACAACAACATTAATTAAGGTTTCAACAACATTAATTAAGGTTTTATGGTCATTTTTCGGGATATATAGTAGCATGTAATTTGTAAATATTACATTTGATAAAGACCCGGTGTTGTCGAAACAATTGTCATGTCAAAATATATAATTTCGTGAAAATCTGAACTTTTAGTTCTTATTTATTTTGCCTTTTTCTGACACTCGCAAATCTCAGCACTTACAAACAAGAGTGTTGCGCAAGAATAATTTTTACTTGGTGAGTCTTAACGACCCCCTGGACATTAATGGATAAATTCGAATCAAATCGATTTTGCAACATTTTTTCTGTGAATGCACAAAAGGGGCGTGGTTATAGAATGAATGACCCACTTGCAAGGGTGCTAAATTACAGGCCTCGCTCGTTACTATCAACTTCCACCCCAGCCTTAGGCAAGTGCAAATTAATGTCATTGCTCTAGCACAACTCTTTCCAATTTTCTCACCCTCACTTTCCCCCCGGATAACTAACCTCCCCGTTTGTTGTCCGCCGTTTCAATTAGGCGCGGAACGGTGGCTCGTATATAAGCCCATCAAGTCCAACGCGGTATGATAAATGACCCTGCGACGCGATCGAACAATCCATCATACCCAAAGAGATTGGAGATGTCGAGAGAAGGTCACAGTCTACGGTCATCCATCATAACTCTCTCACGGCGCAGTCAAGCCCAGCGTGCCGGCACAGGAGTGACAGGCGAAGACAGGGTCGGCATGTTTTTTCTTCCAGACGACTGGTATGCCCATCAGATTTTGTTTTCGCATCAGGTCAGTTTGATTTCCATTGCAGCTTCAGCAGTGACAATTGCAAAAACTGTTAAAAATGTTATCTTCCTAAAGAACAAATTTTAAAGATTGTACCCAGAATCTGGAAACTTGGATTTAAGGAAACTTTTCGAAAATCCCTTGCCTCCATGAAAGTTTTATATAATAATAGACATATTTTAAGTAAACAACTGAAACGAGGTTTGTGTAAGTCCCTGGCTCTTTCTAATTTCAACTATTTTATGGTTTTTGTTTGGATCAGGAATTTAAGAAGTACAGAATGCATCTATTAGGTTTTTGTATAGCTTGAAGAAATTTGATCATGTATCACACTTAATCCGGCAGTAAAGTATTTGAACTTAATTATCAACAAGCTTCTTGGCATCTTCACTAACGGGGTCCAAAATGTTATAAAACCAATTAATTCTCCTCCAATGTTACTTAACAGTGTTCGAAGTGTTTTCGGAGCGCGAGCATTGAAGATGCCAAGTGAGATTTTGGCGAAACGTCTGCAGGATTCCAGTCGGATGCAGGATTCCAGTCGGAGTTCAACGAGCGAACGGATGATATCCCGGAATATATATCATTATATATATATATATATATATATATATATATATATATATATATATATATATATATATATATATATATATATATATATATATATATATATATATATATATATATATATATATATATATATATATATATATATATATATATATATATATATATATATATATATATATATATATATATATATATATATATATATATATATATATATATATATAATATATATATATATATAAAAATATATATATATATATATATATATATATATATATATATATATATATAGAATACAATAAAACAGCGTATATGTATGTAAGACTCCCTGATGTGGTGAGACTTCTCAAGAAAAACAGCGTACACCCAGATATTTTTTGTATCGTTTGATCCAGTCATTTGAAAATAAGGAACCTTTCAACATCACTATCCTAGAATTTAACTATTTCAAACTGCTTTCGGCATGCAGGTCTGATAAAATCGGAAGATGGGTTTGATTCAGACGATGACTTACCTCTTGTTCAGTGCTTCGAGAAGTACAAAAATAATGACGACGATGACTGGGAGGTTCCCCTAATTAATTGGTTGCGCAGTAGCGGCCAAGATGGAACCAGCATTGAAATGTATATTCCTGAGCTGGATAGCTTCCCAACTGTTGATGATAATTTAATAACAACGGAGTTTTTAACGGATAATGATATTATTACTGAAGTTTTACAGCCAAATGATCTTCAAAGCTCTGGTAACGAAAGCGACGATGATGTTCAACAGGACGAAGGAAGTACCAAGTTATTCTGAAGCGCTTTGTGCCGCTAAACATATTCTGACGATAAGCAAACAGGCAATGTAGTGTATGTATCATATTTAAACTGTATAATATTAAATATTATAAAATAGTGCAACCAAGAGGCGGTGAAAGATCACACCTAAACATTGTCAATCATTTTCGTTCATTTTATTACCGAAGCCTAAGTAAAGGCAATTAGGTAAGACGAAAGATTGATATTAGTAGTTGAAGCTTGTGCCTGAAACTAACCAAATGGACTTTCTAGTTTAAGATTAGCGTTAACAGAATGAAAAAGGACTTTCCTTACTGTTTATAATGATGTTAAAATAATTATAATCTAAGTTCTTTTTTTGATGTATAAAGTTCTAGGTACATGTATCATTGTTATGCTTACTTTTACTTAATTCCAGACTTCGTCTATGCAATCTTAACGAAGACTATTGTCATTTGCGTTTTTTTTTAAATTTTGAACCGTTGTTTCTCTCAGTGTATACGAATACGATACTATATCGATTTCAATGTATTTTTAACAGTAATGCGAACAATTTTTTTTTTGCAAACCACAACGGTATTTTAAAAAAAGAACTATGCGTTATTTTACGAGTGCAATGCCATTCGGTCAAGCTTCTAACTCACCCGCGCTTTCGACTACATAAAAACGTTATTCTGAGACGACAAGCACCGGCAACGTTGAAGGAAAAAGAAAACGCCCCAACCGTTCGATAAAACAAATTTATTAAAGCGAAATATCGAGATAACCGACACTGACATCGAATACAATATATACAGTCCGTCGGGCGTCATCGTCCGAACCCCTATGTACAAGTTATCACAGGACGCGGGTACCATACACGACGCTACTTGTCCGCGCGCACTACGGATGAACCGCCGCGGGTCCCAGCCGCTGCCCGTACACCGAATACGGCGAATAAAACGGCCCCAATGCGGTCGGATTGAAAGCACTGTACGGAGACGCTGCCAGCGTCGGTTTGCCGTAAGGGTGGTACCTCGCGCTCAGCGGACTCAGAGGCGGGTTCGGGTACCCGCCGGATCTGTGCAACGCGGCCGACGAGAACAACGGGTGACTGAGCAGGGCCGTCGACGAAGACGCCGTCGACACCGTCGCCGTCGGGTCGCTCGCGTTCGTGTGCGTCCTCAAATGCTGGAGCAACTCGTCGGAGGTGACGAACCTCTTGCCGCAATACGAATCCCCGGCGATCCAGTTGCACACGTACGGCCTGCCGAGTTGCGTATAGGCCAACGAACTCGGCGAAGCTCCCAAAGACATCGCCATGGCCAAGTTGTACTTCTGGTGGTCGCACTGGGTACACCCGGACGGGCAGCCGCCTCCCGCGCCGCTCATCAACAACTGCTGGTTTTGTAAACTGAACTGGCACCCGGTGCAGTACGGATCTTTGCACACCGGCACCAGGGCTTCGCCCCCGGAAGGAGTTTTAACTCGCGCGTAACTCAGATAAGGCCCGGGGTAGCCGCCGCCGAGCATGGCGGCGTGGTGATGCGAAAACGTCGGCGCGGCACCGGGAAAAGGTGGTCGGAACGCGGGGTTCGTGTGCTCGAGACCTGGAGGACAACACAACGCGTTTAGGTGGCCACCGAGGCCCGCGGGTAACGCGGACGGTAACTTGTAGGCGGGGAAGTCTTTCGCGTGGCCCTGGAGTATCTCCAAACCGGAACGGATGATGGGGCTCGCGGACGGGGTCGAATTTTTGGACGTCGTCTCCGGGGAGGTCTTGCCCGCGTCCGGGGTGCCGGCCGGGGGCGACGCGGACTTGCGGTCCGGCTTCTTGTCTTCAGCTACGCTCGATTTGGACGTCGGACGGGCCACGTCGTCCGTTTTCTTCGACACCACGTTCGTCTCGTACGGTTTGAACGCCAACTTGGTCTCGCCGGGCGTCGCGCCCCTTTGTTTGTCGCTTTTGTCGCGAGCCGGCGACTGACGAGTCGCCTCTGGCTTTTTCTTGTCCGCCGCGAGAGGCGGCTTCGCGGACGGTGTGTCCGCGCCGATCTGGCTGCACGTCTGGGCGAGGAGGGCCAGCGGGCTTTTCTTCGCGTCCAGCTGAAACGATAAAAACGAGAATAAGCGAAACAAATCACGCGAAAACTCCGAACTCACCGTCGTAGGCAACGGGGAAAGGTAATCCGGTTGTAAGTATTGATTGCCGGCGGTGGAAAGCATCCCGCCGCCCTCGAGAACGACCATCTTTGAAAATGCGGAGGGTTAAACACAACAAACGAGTAAAATTCCGTAGACTGATCGGTCGCACTTTACCCTACGAACGCTCACTGCATACTGAAGAGCGGGCGGGCGACGGCAGCGCGAGAGGCGACGCGAGAATGAAACGCGCGTGCGCGAGTCGCGTTTGTTTTCCGCACCTCGGAGCGCGCGGTTGCCACGTCTACGCAGTTTCGAGCGTAAGGTTGGCGTAAGATGGTTGGATTCCAAATGGACTTTCTCTGTCTGCGAAAAATATTACAGATTCTTCTCTGGATTAACATGAAGACACCACCGCTGATTTATTTGAAAGTTGGTTTAAAAACAAACTAGTTCCAAACATTCCTTCTTATAGCGTAATTGTAATGGAAAATGCAAGTTATCAAAAGCAACAATCCAAAACTACATGTATAATAACGACATTTATTTTCACGAAGATTATACCAAAAAGCAATTAATTGAGGTTATAGAAAGCTTGAACCTACAAAAGGAATACGTCTGTGATAATCATGCAAAAAATCTAGGGGCATACAGTTTTAAGGCTTCCACCTTACCACTGTATATTTAATCCCATTGGAGATGTTTGGCACCAACTGAAATCTGCCATTCGTCGTAACAATGTTTTTCCCCGTGTTAACTCCAATGTCCTCAAAATTATAGTTTTTAACATCACTCAACACAGTTGGGCAAATTCTGTTAAACATATAGAAAAAGCAGAACAATCGTATATCCATATTGCGAATAATGTAGAACAAATAGTAATTAGAACAGGCGATGATAGCGATAGTGATAGTGTTATATTATGTTTTATAATTTTACGTAATTTAAGTAGGTAATAAAAATAATTTGTAATTTTATTTTAGATTTAAACAAATATATACATAAATAAATAAATATTGTATAGTGTATTTCCTAAGAAAACCCCAAATAATTAAATTCTAAGCAAAGTACGGACCTGTTTGGCCATATTTCATTCTTACAGCTTGTCCGGGTCTTTCCTTAATTCGTATCAGTTAGTCACTTTCTTATATCTATGAACAGACTTTAGCCACACAGTTTCTGCTGTTTTTTTATTGTTCAATTACCTTTAAATATATAATTCAACGAAAAACTGAGACCCCCTTTGTATAAAATTAAAAATTTCTTCTACGATTTACTATTAATGCGAAACGGGTCTTTCTTTTTTTTGACACAGTTTCATTTTTCTATGGTCTTTCAAAGCCTGTGTCTACTTTCTTACTTATTAGCGCCTTCTTAATAAAAGTAAAAATTTATTGTAAATTGACAACATGCACGGACTCTCAATGTTCCAAAATGTTTCCCCACGTTTCTGCTTTTCCTAAAGTTCCTATGTACTGCTTTCAGCGTGGACGTAGTTTTACGATAACCTTTAAAAATTACTTTTGTACCTCACAGGTTGTATTATTATTGTAATATTTGCTCTATAAATATTATTTAAAAACTAACCAAAACTAAAAAAAACTAAAAGTTCAGATTTTTACGAAATTACATATTATGATATGACAATTTTTTCGACAACAAATGTGATAAAGACACGGTGTTGTCGAAACAATTGTCATGTCATAATGTATAATTTCGTGAAAATCTGAACCTTTAGTTCTTATTTATTTTGATAAATTTATTTTCATCAAGTAAAAGCCACCTCAGTTCAACTTTTAACCAAAACTAATTCAGATAAGTACTTACCACCTTTGGTTTTTTGAAATATCACCTAAGTGAATATATTACTTAAGGGAACTACAAATTTATTTCATTTAAATAATTGTTTGTTTCTTAAAAATATATTTATCCTTTCGCTTGTTCCTCTGGCCGTTTGATCATGACGTTCTCTTCAACCAAGAATTTTAATAATTTTAAAAAATAAATTTGCATTTATTTTTTAAAACATATTTCTTTGATAATGGCCAAACATTTATTTGAATTTTTTTAAAAATGTATTGTATCAAATATATATCTATTCAAATAAATATTTACCCCCTTTTTCGTGGATTTCCATGCGATAAATGTTTGATTTAAATAAATTTGTTATTTTACTATAGGTTTTAGAGAATTATTTGTTTTATAAAAATATATAGTTCATCTAATTGATCAAATATCTGTAATAACTCCACAATTGATTTTAACTATTTTCGATTTTTTTTCTGGACCGAGAATTCATATAATCAAATTTTAAAAAATAACCAAATATTTGTTAAACTAAACTTTAGGGAATGGTAAGTGCCGCTTAAAAAATACTTGTATATGCTTAATAAAAACTCTTTATTAATATAACACATTCTAATTCCCAATTCTTGGATATTAGCTGCTTCTATCACGCTATCCCGAGTCTTTTGTGCATTTTTTAAAAGCATATTTCGCTTTTGTTATAGGCATTGCAGCAGAAAGCAAAAATTGTAATTAGCCCTGACCCAAATATGTGTCATGGATGATATTCAGACCCAGGACTGTCCCATAATCTAACTAACAAAATACTAAAAAAAATACTAAGTACTTAAAACTGAGTTAAATTTCCATAAAATTCAAAATATTTCAAAAACCTTATTGAAAAGAGTTGGAATGTTCGTAACCGGTACGGCGGGGAAAAGTGCAAAAACATGGCAACGTCGCGCATTAGAAAGCGGGCAGTGACGAAGCGCCAATAGGGCCACGTTCTGGGCCATCGCCTTCTGCCACCCATAGCGTAGTGGTGACGATGACAAGCCCTTTAATGGCCCTTTGATCTTGCCGGCGGCACCACAGGCAGAATTAAGGTTCAAAGCAATCAGTAGCATGGAAAACACAAAATAAAATAATAAATAAGGAGACCGGTCTGGCTCAGAGGGAAACGTGGGCTTCGCCGTGTATTACGGGGCTCTCTCAACATTTTTTCAAGCGGATTTTGTTTTAGTGGTTGAGTTTTAACGTTAAACTATTAATTGGTTTTCTCCTATTCGCGGAAGGAAAGTATGACTCATTTTTTAATTGAACGATAACGGGTAATTATTGAAAACCGTTGTAACGATAAGTATAAATTATTGATAGGGTACCGCTCGTTAGGTTAAAATGCGACTGAGCTCGATATTGACGGGCAGAACTTGCGATAGAAAAAGAGAGACGCTTGCTCGTTAGTGCAAATGCAAACGTATTCTTACCGAAATGATCTAAACGTTATCATTTCGCTATAAAACAATATTTACTAGACCATAAAGTGTGTAATAATCTAGATTCTCAGAAAAAAACCTTCTATAACTTCTCCATAAAGGGTATTTTCTAATTTAATGTAATTTAGGAGGCGGTTTTTGGGTCCGTTTCAAAAAGAAAACTTCATATGAACTTTTGAGATACAGTGTGATACATTTTCAAAAATAAAATATATTGTTTTAATATCTGTAATACACTTTAGATGTTTTAATGAAATTTGGCCAACATGTACCACGAGGCAATATTTAGCCTTGAAGATTTCTTAAAAAATACACCAGGGGCGGGCGTACAGAATTTCACCTGTCTATTTTGGCAGACATTGATTTCTTCTAAAATAAAAATTATTCTTACAATCTACAATCATTTCTAAAGAAATTTAATTTCTTGTTTTCTTTCAATCCGAAGTACGTAAAATAAATAAAAAATCGTTTATTATTTATCTTGTTGTTAGGGTGCCATGTTATTCAAGTGAAACAGTAAAAGTAAAAAGGAAGGGCACCAGTTGGTAACTAAAAACTAGATATTTTATTTTTGATAGTTATTTTATTTTTCACAAAAAAAATTTTCAATAACCTGGGGACCTAATTAACCAAAATATTATTTGTTCATAGACAGTCGGTGGTACGTCAACGATTTTCTTAAAAAAGTAGCTTTTATTATGCAGACATATGTATTTTTTTAAAAAATTGGTACACCAAATAATGTCTTTTGTTCATATAAAGTTTTCTTTTTAAAATTCAATTAGAAAACACGCTGTATGATGAAAATGGATAATAGTCTTTCTAACGTAGAACGTAAAAGATAAAAACATTTTTTTAAATCTGTAGAATGTTTATTTTTTTATCATTTCATTTTATTGAGTTGGTTTTGACTAGCTTCTTCAAGAAAACTTTCCAAAAAAGGGCGTGAAAATTGATATACTCCAAATATTTTAGTCTTTCTAAATTTAAATGTTTATTTCACAGAAAATAGCTGTACATTTGATAATTTCCGTAATTACATGTAAATATTTTGTTTATTTATTTTTATTTATTTATTATATAATGAGTAATGCTATACTTTTCCATTATTCCCACGTTAAACTACATGGCAACAAATACAAATTGGCAGAAAAACTAAAACACCGGCGCTCTGTGGCCTGTACGTAACCCGGCGGTTCGTAGACCGCGGTCACACGCGCGGCCAACTCCGCGCAGTGTGGCCGAGGCTTTACAAATTGCGGGTTATCGGGTCTCCGCGTTACCGCGGAAAATATGATAATTTTATGTTAATGCGGCTAGCGGTAATAAGGCGGCAGCGTTATCGCCCGTGTACGCGCGATGAAAGTATAAGACCGGCCAATTAAAATGTCGGCGAGCGATATATATATATGCCGCGTATCGCTTTAACCCGTATAAAGGAGGGCGCGAATCGATGAAAGCACTTACGTCGCGCATCAATCAAGTGTCGCCGAATAATTGCTTTATTTAACGATCGATTCGTAAGCGCGCCCATAAAACATGGCGATCGCGGTTAATTGCTCTGTGGAGCGACATTTGTAAAGTGACGACCCCATACTTTCGAAAATCGATGAAATCGAATTTTCGAAAGTATCTGCGCTCTTATAAAAATACCTCGGTAACGGTAAGTCCTACGGGATCGCCGTTGGTACAGAAATGATCACCGTCGAAAAAAAAATTTGTATTTTTTTGTCTGTCCGTTCTCCGTTCTCTGTTCTCGTATTTTGGTTTTTCCTGAATAACTTTCGAACCGTTGGAGCTACAAACTTCAAATTTGCCTACCTTTTAATCCTCCATAAGAAATGGCCCTGATCCGACGTCGGTATCCATCTTTTTTTCACGATTTTCGACTGTTTTTTGGACCTTGCTATGAAACACAATAAGTGTCCGAAATATCAAGCAATCGACTTCATATTTGGCACATATATGCAGCTTTGCCTCCTGAAGGAAGCTATTCAAAATAGGGGGACTGAGGGGTCGGGAAGTATTCTAAAAAAATAAAAAATCGCGCGAGCAATGGTCTACAAAAAACATCATTTTTCAAAAACTGTTTACGTGACCAAAAAAATTCCCGAACCAGAAGAAGCAGCAGATACGGCTCTATAAACTTTTATTTTTTACAATTTTTCAAAAATATACAGCGTGCGCCGCAAATTGAAAAAACTGAAAGATTGATCCCCCTATTATTGAAGATTTTC